AGAGAAGAGAGTGACATCCAGAAAAACCTATGTTTTCAAATCAATACAAGCACCACGATCTGGCCATTTGAACTTGTGCAAGGTCTAAACTCGCATATGACCAAGCAATGGACAAAAAGAATCCGGTGTATTTCCCTCTCCTTGGCCCAAACCTGACACAAACTAAACTAGAATCCTATAAAAAAAGAGATGAAAGTGACATCAATAGAATTTAGCCTATTCCCCAACCTAAACCAACTATACTCATCTTTTCCATCACATGGACTTGTTCTTAATGGCCACCAATAAAAGACCTCTTAAAGTACCATTTTTACTATGAGAAAGTTAAAAGCTTAATTGGTGTTTTCCTCGATGAAACTTAATCCCATTTCAACCTGCCCATCATGGTTACTGAAAATAGCATTTCCTTCTTACAAATTTTTTAAATACTTGAAATCTCTTACATGCCCCTTAACCTCCCCATCTCTTGCCAAAATAACTCTGATTTTCTTCCATCTTTATGAAGTTGTTTCCCCAAACGCCGACCATTTGCATTTCTCTCCTCTGAACTCTTTCCAAGTGGTCCAAACTCTTCTTAAATTTTGACACCCAAAACAGATGCTGTCTGCACACTGAGAGTTTACCAACAGCAAATAAAGCCAGTGGATTTAAACTGTACATCCCTCAGACAATACTCCCATTCAAACATCCCAGTAAGATATTTGCCTTTTCTACAAACAGCATGACACTGACTCATGTTCAACTTGTGATCCAGTACACCCCCAGGTCCTTTTTCTAGTACCTAACCAGTTATTCCTCACCCTGCATTTACACAGTTGATAATTCCTGCCTAAGTACAGTACTCTGCATTTATTCCTATTGAATTCCATCCTATTTTTCAGGTCATTTTCAACACTCATCATGTCCTCCAACACATAGTCCCTGAGAATTTAATAAGCACATTTAATCAGCCAGTTGACTGATGCCTCTATTAAAGGCAACCGTACACAGGACAGAACTCTTCAATGTAACCTCTTATTTCAACACTGAATCAATAATTACTGTTTTCTCAATAGGATTATCTACCCAGTTTTTCACGTTTCCTAGACTACTTTCCCCAGATCATGTCTCCATTTACTTATGAGGCCATTAAAATGTGGAAAATCCTATTAAATAAATAGATCAATCAGGAAACAAGACTGCTTCTGCCATAGGCATAAAACCTTCTGCTCTGCAGTAAAAAGGTATTAGACTTTGGACACAATTTGTTTTCCCACAAATCAGTTCATGCTGTTGTTATTCTCGTAGTTATCTTCCAAACACTGACAGAAAAAAATGAGAAAAAGTGAACTGTCAGATTTCAACTCCTCTTCCTCAGCTCTCTTCCATTATAACTCTCTGAAGACTCATCCTTTGCCACTGTTCTAGTACTTCTGAGTATGCCTAGATAGTATTTTTGCATTTTTTGAGCTGTTTTGAGAATCATACAGTGAGGCTTATCAGGGCCAGCTGACACAGGAATATCTAATGGAAGTACACCCCAGTGTAAAATACCACCTCGTCACAAGTATTACTAAGATTAAGCTCCTGCATGACACCGTGTTAGAGAAGACAAGCAAAGAGCACTTTAAATGTTCCCCACCTTCTGTAGATACACACTTTCTCCACTGAATCAGAGAGACATTTCCAACCTTCCTCCTGCTATTAACGTACCTCTACAGGAACCTTGCTAGCTTTTATGCCTCTTCCTAGTTGCAATTCCATTTGCACTTTGGCCTTTACAATATCTGCCTCTACTATTCTTTTATACATGGTTCTTCATAACCTGACTTACTTTCATGCTCTACATATATTTTTTCTTGCATCCGAAGTCAGTAAATGCTCATGTTGGTCTTACTACTTTCTCTATTTCTCAACAGGTTTTCCATTTTGCTGTCCTGTCTCCAAGCCTTTATAAGGATCATGAGCTCTGATTTCATAGCTATTTATCACCTTTCATTTTGACATCCTCTAGCTAGAATAAAATCTAAAGGAGTTGCCATTTTTGCTGCTGTATGTACCTTCTAAACTGAAAATGTCACCATGACATAACGGTGATAAAGGTCAGAAAAGAGAGAGAGTTAGGTATTTTGATTTTGAAGGATGGTCTTTTGGTCTTAAATACCACATAAAATCTCAATCCAACTAAAGTAGTAATGGACTTGCTACCATTTCCAGTACCTGGTCCTCTTCCAAAGAGCTGAATTAAGATGAATAATGTGATGCCACAATTCTAATAAACCAGAACCACAAAAAAGGGCTAAATTTTTTCAAAGGAAAAATATGGAATGAAGAAAAACCAAAAATACAGAATGAATGCAAAATGCAGCTAATTCTGGTAGGACTGGCAGGATTACGAACGCTATGATTGACACCGCACCACTTCAGGGCAAGCAGCTAGACTCCATGGCCACAGAGACCCCTTCCTAATCCCAACCCATGCACAGTGCTCCACGCATACGGTGATGAAGATACATATTTTAGAAAAGAAACAGCAATATACAGCACTTCAGATTTTTATGTAGACCACATCCATAACTCCTGAAGAGTAACTGTGAATCACCCATCCTTTTTTATTTGTCTGCCTTTCAGCTACCAAAGAGTAAAGTTTACAGACTTATTTCAATCAGGAATAAAGGTGTCAGACTTGAAGCTATGATAAAACTACAGTTTACTACAATCTGAACTTTTGTTCTCTGCTAAACAGATGATTTAACAAAGGAAGTAGGTTTTTTTATGAATGAAAACTATTTTTACCTCATTGTATAACAGTGAAAGGGAAACAGTTTAGCATTACTGTTATTTAAAATATTTTTTTTAAATCTCTAATTGGGAAATTGGGATTTTGAACTAGGATTTGTTTCATACGAATTGTCCCATGCTAAACATAACCAGATCCAAGCACTAAGGAGAATGTTGGGGTTTTTTTCACCACTTAAAGAACACAAAGCCTACTAATTTGCACAATGCTGTGCCTACAGACCCAAAGCAAGCTTGGCCACATTAGATGCCATGCTGCGGAGATGGGTAATCCCTGCCCAAAAAAGCATACACTTATATACACACTCAGTTCTCCAACGCAAGTCTTTAAGCCATTCAAAAGATGAGTCTGCACATACACTGCAGAAGCATACATTTTTATATTACACTGATAATGTTTGGGCACTGAGAAAATGAAATATAAGGAAGCCTTTTTTTCTAATTTCCAAAACTCAGAGTTTTAGAAGAATCAGCTAAAGGAATGAAAGCTCTCCCCTCCATGCCAGCTACCATCAGGTTCATACCAGACAGATATTTAATAAGGAAAGCGTTAGAACAGTCGTCCCAGGCGGGCTGTTAAAGATGCTTAAGCATATCACTCAACTCAGACATTTTTCACACAAGAAGTAATAATTCCTACAACAGACCTTGGACAAAGCTAAGTCAAAGTAATCCGCTGTTGGTATTTTACAGAAATAAAGCAAACGGTATTTGAAGGTTGCCAGAAAAAGGAACAAGGGTGGAATGGTTAAGATGCTTGATAGAAACCCGGCCTTTCCGTGTCAGCTCCCAGTTCTAGTACAATCTCCTCTATGACTCGGGCAACCCACTTGGACCTGGCTTTAACAATAAAAAGGTATTTTACTCCCACAGAATAAGTGGAATCTCCATACCACTGAAAAATCTATGTCTTGTTGACTGTTCTATACTCCACACAGAAGATAGCGAAGATACTACCCCCTCAAAGCAAATGAGAAAAATTAATCTGAGGGCTCCATGTCAATACAGACTTTTTTTTTTTTAAATGTCTTTTTAAAAATCATTTATTAGGACTACAGCAAAACAGCTTGTCTGATGCACCATGCCGGTCACATGGCACACTAGCAGAAAAGGACTGCATCACAAAAGTTTCTCAATCACGCTCAGACATGATGCAACTTCCCACCCTCCTAGGCAGTCCCCACACTCCCTTGCCAGGCACTGCACTCTGTCTGGCCAGGCAGCTATGACCTGCCATCCCTCCCTCTTCAGGTTAGGGATGAATTAGTGCCTGCCCGAGTCATCCAGCCCTCCATAGAGGAGAAAAGGATGAATGAAAAAGAAATACAGGAACAGACGCTCGATTCTAGAAGACAACTAACAAAAAAATTAAGGGGTGAGAGCATAACGAGCTCAAAGTCGCAAGAGCACTACTGGAAGACACCAAGTGGAGATCCTAGAGCACCACCGCTGCTCCTGGAGGTATTCAGGAAAGTGGCAGCTGCTGTCCAGCAGCTCCACTGCAGCCAGAGTCTACAGAATCGCTCAGTTCCCTTTTGCTGCCTTCTCTTCTTTGTGGCACGGACAGTCAGCTTTGGCCAAAACCAAAGCCAACAAGATCTCTGTTACCCATTTTCTGAAGTGCTTTAAGAGCTGAGTACTTTGGAGCACATCGGTTTTTCCTAGCTGACCTAGGCGCTCACACTGGTATGCTCTATGCTCCCAGAAGCCAGTGTTCTTCCTCACAGGTGACTACATCAACAATACACTACTTTTTTATTTCACCAAGCCGTCTTAATAATACACTTATTAGAAGCCAGCAGAGTTAAGTCAGTACCAATAAATTTCCAAGTCAATTATACAGTTCAAAGTTTACATAGTACATCTTCTTTAAACTTTGTAAAGTTGTATTCGCAACTAACCAACAAGAAAAAGACGTTTACAAAACTAGCAGTATGTGGTCCTTATTATCACCTTACATACAGAGACAAACACGGCCTTGGTGTACATGCAGTCAAGATCTACTGCTGTCACCAGTGACACTGCTACGTGGACACTAAGTTTATGAGGGCCTGACTTATACCATAGAGTATATTTAAACAATGCCAAAAAAAGCTGCTTCTCCAACGTAAATATTCTACAGGACACAAGAGTGTTGTACAAGTCAGGTTTACTTTAATAAAAGGTAAAAGTATCAACCCTTTCAGATACAATGGAACTGATGGCAGAAAAATATAGCTAACCTGTCTGAAGAGCCAGCACGTGGACAAATCTCAGACATACAACGGCTGAGTCGCCTACAAAAAAAAAAACAAACACACAGTCAGAGGAACAAATAGACTAAATGAAACTTAAGATTAATTGCCATAGCTAAGAAAATACCGCACAGTTCTAGCAAGTGCATACAGCAAAGAAACACATTAATGAACTCTAGAACTGGAACGAAATTCTCAGCAAGCTCAGATGAGGAGGAAGCAGTCAGGCGGTGTGGCCAGACAACTATCAGCACTCACTTAGAACAGTTTAGAGTTAGCCATCTCCCATTGCTGGAGGCTATGCTATCTCAGCTGAGGGAGACAACAGCGTCTTGATCGGCTCCAAAAGCATCCTCGAGCAAGCCATGAGCACTAGTGGTAGCTGCAAGCTTTTAGAGCCAATGCTGCAGATACTCAACTTCTCCCTCTTCACCTTAAGTATCAATGCAGTTTTTAAAACTGCCTCGCCAATTCCACTTCAATTCCCAGCATTTAATTCGCGTGGTAGTTGTTTATCCCAGAACAGGCCACCTCTTCAGCTTGAAGCAGAGGCTGTCGGAGGCGCTTGCGATCACCATCCCCACAGCCCAGCTGACAGAAAAGCACGCTGCAAGCTTTGTCAACAGCACTACAGCCCACTGACTCATCTGCTGAAAAAACGGCTGAGGCGCCTAGAACTCTCTTCTTATCCTTTGCTGGGATGGTTCCTCTTTGGTACGCGACCACTAACGCTTCCCGCCGACCCCGCCCCTCCAAAACCCGCCGGCCCGTGCCCCAGCAGCCAAGCGCT